TCAATTCCTTTTGCTCCTGGCGTGAACTGCTGTGGAGCAGTTTAAGGACAGCCTGACCCCCCAACCCCGTGCCTTTCTTTTGGTGGCTTGCATTTATTGCTTGAAAACCTAGAGACTTCATTTTACTTCTTTAATGTTTTATTATTGAATAAGAATGTTTCTATGTTTTATATGTTAGACGTGTTAGAATATTTTGTGTTCTTTCTTAACTTCATAGATATTTATCCTTTTATTAGCATATATTGATTGGTTCTCCATATTCAAAGCTTACTAGTTAAGCACTTAGAAAGAAATCTACTTCAGCTTGGATTTATCCCAAACCATTTAGTGATATGATTTTTTACCATCTCTATTCCATTCCATTCTGTTTCTCATGTAATTAATTCTCTATCAGTGTTACTTTTGTCTTTTATTTGTTCTCTTCTCTCTCTAATCTCCATTTGTTTTATCACAGTGTTGTGTTTTAGCCAGGGCTTTGAACCAGTTCAAACTGGTTCAGTCATGACTGACAGAGTGACATTGGATAGGATGAAGTGGAATGACAACCAAAATGGGTTAAAAAAAGGAGCGAACCAAGCCAAGGAAAGACAGACAAGAAACAGACAGAGCCAGCCCAGGAAGCAAACGCAGACAGAAAAGACAGTCCAGCCAGCACGAGAGACAGACACACACAAACAAACGCACCCAGCTGCCGGCCGTCACCTACCACACACACACCCACTCCCTAATGAATGACAGAATATTTGGTTGCTATGCAATGTGGATGCTGCCTTTGTTTTCTAAGAGGAAAATGAAATTTCTTGTAGAGCACTGCTTTGTAACGTTTCCAAGTTTGGGTATAGTTCCAGGTCACCTGCGGTTTAAAAAGTCTAGTCCATTCAGTTTTGCTTTATCTGCTACGACTCAACTGGGAAGAGTTGGTGTGAAGCCTTAGTTTTAACATCTATTCTTTGCTTCTTTAAAAGTAGGTTCTTATTCATTTCTTTTTCATTAAAACATTTGCCTGCGGAGTTTTCTCTCTCTGTGTGTGTGTGTGTGTGTGTGTGTGTGTGTGTTTCCAGATTGAGGTTTTTATATGGCTTTGCATATTCTTTTTTTTTTCTTCTGACTTTTTCCCTTTTGTTTAATATATTCCTTTTTAAAATGTCATTCCTTTTCTCTGATCTTGCTTATGCTTAATATATTTGTCCTGATATAATGTCGCTAAGTTTCCCTTGAATATCCCTATTTGTCTTCTACTTTGAGTACAGTTTGTTACTTATTCAACATGTGTTGGAGGAAAGTGATCTGTTGCTTTGTTTAAAGTTTTTTCCTTTCAGACTCATTAGAATTAAAATCTGTATATCTATTTAAGCATTAGTATGATTTTTTAATAGATGCAAATTTTGATATCAGGTGAACATGTAAAAGCAAAAAATCGCACCCACTGCCATCAAGTTGATTCTGACTCATGGTGACACTGCAGAAGAGAGGAGAACTGCCCTTTGGGTTTCTGGTCCTTGAAATCTTTTTGGAAGCCGATGACCTCATCACTCTTGCTCTGAGAGCCTGGTGGGTGTGAGCTGCTGCAGCTCACTAGGTAACCCATTAGACCACCAGAGCACCTATCGGAATCTTCATTTTCCTTTTCTTTTTTTAAGCAGTGCGTGTGCACAAAAACAGTTTAAAATTTTTGTATTATGAATTGGATCGAAAGTTTACAGAGCAGATTTTTCATTCAATTTATATATTTTTTCTGTTTCATCTCATTCATTGCAACCCCCTGAATGTAGTAGCACTTTCCCCAATTTTCCCCTGGGTTTCCTGTCTCTATTCCGCCTCCTTTCCCTTGAATTTTGAATCCTGGATTAAATGCTGCCTTTTATTTTTTTATCTCAATGGTTGATTATTCTAAGGCATGCATATTCCCCCATATTATTGGTCTCCTTACAGACCTGTCTCTTATCTACCTGAGAGCTGAGTCATGATGGATAAGATCATTTCCAAACTTGAAGGATAACTGAGTGCTATAGTCTTGAGGATGGCACCAGTCTCTCTCTGAGCCTGGTCTTTTTTTATGATTTTGAATTTTGTTCCAAATTTTCCTCCAACTATACTAAAGGCCCTGTAATTGGTTTTTCCCCAAAACAGTTGGTACGTAACTAAACATTTTTGTAGTCTCATGGGTTGTGGAAATTGATGCTCCATGAATCTACTGGACTAATTGTGTCCGTGCATCTTTGCTTTTCTTCACTGTTCTTATCTCCAGACACAGAGAGACCAATAATCACAACCTATAAAGCTGCTCCTGACCCCATTGTTTAAGACCATGTTGTTTTCAATATATTGTTTTTGTGGACAATGTGCTATGCCAATTTGACCTAGATGTAGCTCAGGACCATGATTCTGAGCCCTAGTCCCTATGAATCCTTCCTTGAAGGATTTTGGTTATGTCTAAGAAGTTTACACCAGCCAGCAGCATAGTGGTTATCAAACCACCAGCTGCCTCACAAGAGAAAGACAAGGCTTTCTACTCCCACAAAGACTTACAGCCTTGGAAACCCACAGGAGCAAATCGGCCTTAACCTTTAGGGTTGCTGTGAGTTGGATTTGACTCAGTGGCAGTGAGCTTGGTGTTTTTTTGCTTAAGAAATTTACTAAAATACATTGTAAATGGCAGAAGTAGGCAGTTCTTACTAAAGCCTACAGATTTATTATGTACACTGGATTATTATTTTGAGATAAATATTAAAAGACTCACATCTCATTCACTTTTTATAATGTGCTTTACCACTGGCTCTTATTATTATATAAATTATTGTTAAATTCCTTTGTGCCTTGTCCTTAACTTGACTTGAAATTTACTTGTTTTGCTTTTATTAAAGGTAAATGAAATTGCCTTTATCAATACCCTTGAAGCCCAAAATAAGCGTCATGATGTTTTATCAAAATTGAAGGAGTATGAACAGAGGCTTAATGAGCTACAGGAGGAGCGTCAAAGGAGACAGGAGGAAAAGCAAGCCCGTGATGAAGCTGTGCAGGTATGATTTCACTCTGTAAGCATTTAGTGAGTACCTGCCGGATCCTAGGCTCTCAGGGTAGGTGCTGTGGATCTCAAAAGGAATAAGACCTGATATCTGTTCCTATGGGTGCTTGGTTTTTAGTGTGTGTATATATGTTTGTGTGTGTGTGTATGTATGTATGTATGTATATATGGCACTGTTTGGAAACGTGCTGTTTTATTGCCAGAAGAAAATATGCATTCCTTCAAATAAGGTCTTCAATGCTGTATCACTAGACTGCGGTTAGAGAACCCTGATCTCTAGCGTCAACCAGATGAAGAACTAAACTACCCTGGACTGAAGTCATTACCAGTTCTTCTTTAATTGGCAGAGGATTGATATTATCCTCTTTCCAATAATAAAGGATTGTGTTTAAACTGAATCGTCCATGGCCTTAAAGAACTGGGGAATCTTTATGCTTCTGATAAGGGCCACCTGTTCTTTGTTGGGCAATGTCATCAGATAATTGCTTCGCTCCTACTCTCCCAATGAACCCTAAGTAGACTTCCATTTTCGGAACGGGAATAGTGAAGCCATAAACCGGACTGCTGTTTATAATCTATTTGAAGTGTCTTTTCCTCAGTAGATAGGCTTTTCCATTGGCCCTTTTTGGATCTGACATTTTTGATGTAGAGAAAAACTTTTTTAAAATACCCAAATATAAATGCAAATGTATTCCATTGTGATTAATATTTGTTCACTCAATGATTCAGTGATAATTTAGTGAATTAGTGTTATAAGCCATAGACTGCCTAGCCCAAGGGCATGTTAAAACTATATAGAGATAGATATAAGCACTTACACACACACACACACACACACACACACACACACACACACAC